TTATAATCCAAAACCACCCAAATCTGCCACGACTAAACCAGTTTACTGAACAGAATAGAGACCAAAAATGAAAGCATTAATTTCTAATCAGTTTTTTCCCAATGGAGAAGGCAGCATCTTCTTCGTATCACCTACTTGTTGAAGTGGCGTCACCCTTGAGAGACCAAGGCCGAGCAGCTTGGCATGGAGCAGGCATCTGAACTTCTGAAGTTGTCCACCACCTCCTCGGCGAATCTCGCTGGAACCAAAAGCCTCCACTGTTTCAAAAATGACAAGACCAGTTTTTTTAAACATGTTTATCTTAGAACCCTCCTATTTCAAACAGAAATGCAAAAACTTTCTGCACAATCTGCATCAACCTCGTATTTTTCAAGTTCTGTAACTAGTTTGAAGCAAACATAAGTAACAAGCTGATGGGCCTGAAGTGTTTAATAAGATTATTTTTGGGGGGGGGGGGGGGGAGGATGAGAAATTTGGAGGATGGGGAATTGGAGGGAGGAGCGACGGGAGAGGGGGCACGGAAGGGAGAGACGAGCGACGGGAGGGAGGGAGGTGGGGACGGAGGGGGTGCGGGAGGGGAGGAGCGATGGGAGGGAGGGAGGTGGGGACGGATGGGGCGTGGGAGGGGGGTGTAGAATAGTTATTCTACGGGAGGGGTGTATAATAGAACTAATATATATATATATATATATATGTATGTATGTATGTATGTATGTATGTATGTATGTATGTATGTATGTATGTATGTATGTGTGTGTAAACTATATTTAGTTTGTGCTACTTCAATTAAATAAGTCAGATTCTCCGAGGTGTTCGGCGATTTGAGGACAAGCAACATACGTGTAGTGTAGGTGTTTTTTAATATTGTACTACTCAGATTACATTTTCTGTCTTTTGTAACCCATGTCATTGGGAAGGAAGCAAATATTTCAATGATATAAGATACTGCACTATTTCTTTCCTAGGAGTAGGACCAGCAATCGCTGATTTTTATCCACGTGAACATTTACCTTGTTCTTCCTTTTTTTTTCTTGTTTTATATGGTTGTTTTTTTTAAAAAAATGAATATACTTTCGGCCTTTGCGTAACGTGCTACAGGCAATTATATATTACACCAAATTACTCAAAAGTGTTCACAATCTATTGAGACCAAAAACACACCAATTTAACATAAAGCAACACAAACTAATAAGTACCAACACAAGATTAATGACCCATAATTATTGAATCCTATTTCTGAACCTCTATCCAAACTTGGCGAAAATATGCATAACTGCTGACTCAAGTTTATAACATGCAATATTTATTAGCTTGATGTCTTCATCATACCTTTGTAGTTGGAGCCCAACACTGAAGTCAGTATGTTGCCCTAAAAAGTACCTGCATATAAGATTTTGATGATGCTTTATCAAAAACAGCATCATTTCTACTAAGCATAGAGCCCAACATATTGCAGATGCTCCTACAAGAATAATTTTCTTGTTTTTTTTATTAATACCCACAAACCAATCCCTAAAAATATGAGATATACTATGCGGAGCATATAACCCAAAAGCAATATGTACTACTCTCCAAAGAAAACTTAGATAATGGCAATCCAAGAATAGATGATAAATTATTATTTTTCATATAAAAATAACATCTCATACTACCATTCCAATTCCTAGTAGTCAAATTATATTTTGTTAACACTCACTACAACGGTAACCACCATCTCAATCGGACGGCAACCCCCATCTCAATCAGGCATGGCGCCCGTCATAGCTTAGAAGTCACTGATGTAAGTAGTTATCTCAATCGGGCATGCGCCCGTTATAGATGAAGCTATCTCAATCGGGCACCAAGTAAAGCACGTCACCGATAGCTTCGACCCAGAGGACCAGTCACCCTAGAGCCCGTCACAGAAGACCTATCTCAATCGGACCCTAACTAGAGCCCATCACAGATGAGTACTAATCTCAATCGGGCATAAGTGCCAAGTATTCTAATGACCTGGTATATTGATATCTTTCCTGACCAAAAGTTCAGTTATCCTGCTCCAATTGACAAAATCTAGCTCCAAACGGCAAGACCTAGCACTGATGTGTTACTCATCGTTTCCGATTAGTGGCAAAACCCAACACTGATATGTTGTCAAGCAATCAGTGTTGGATGATTATAAGACCTAGCGTTAGAGATGGCAATGGGGACCCGATCACCGATTCCCCGCGGTGAATTCACATATTAGGGGATGGGGATGGTTGATATCTACGACCCATGGTGAATCTAATGGTCCAAAACTCCTCACCATCGGGGATGGCGGGGGCGGGGACGGTGCACCATTCACCATCCCCGTCCCCCATGGTGACCCGCATGTAATGTAGCTAGGGACCAATTCTAGACTTTACGGTTGTTTTGGCCCATAAAAATAAAGCCCAGTAACCATGTATATATATATCTTCTAACCCTAATCAACCCTCCCCATCTCCAAATTTCTCCCCAACCACCGCGGTGCCGTGCATAGCACGGCCTCCACTAATCCACAGCGTTGCCGGCTGCCGTCTCCCTCGCGCGGGCGCGGTCCTGCCCCCAGTCGTCGCGCCGCCCATCGCCTCCTGCCGTCGTCACGCCGACCGGCGTCTCCGGCCGTCGTCGACACATGCTCGCCGCCTCCGGCCGTCGTCGACGCGCGCTCGCCACCTCCGGACATCATCGCGCCAACCGGCGCCTCCAGCCGTCGTCGACGCACGCTCGCCACCTTCGGCCGTCGTCGTGCATGCGCCGCCTCAGACCGTGGTCGCGGCACCCACCGCGTCCGGCCAGCACGCCATCCGCCGCCATCGATTACTCCGCCCATTCGTCGCCATCGATATGACCAGTAGTTTGTTGAGTATATCATTTTGGAAAGATGTATTGCTGATTTGTGTTCCATTGCATTTATATGATTTGTTGATGAATTTGTTGTTTAACCGGGGACGGGTTCACCACGGGGAAAAATTCACCACGTGGTGATCGGGGCTAGAGAAATTGTAGCCCCGTCGTGGTTGACGGGGACGGGGACGGTGAAATTTTTTCACCGTGGTGACGGGGACGCGGGTGTAACCCCCGACGGTGAATTCACCATTGCCATCTCTACCTAGCGTACGTTGATGTATCGTCGGTTGAAACATGCGCATAGAGGGGACTTGTTTTTTGGGGCGGGAAACAATCATCAGTGCCTGGTTTTATCGTTATCAATGATGGGGCAATATGCTATTATGTGGTACTAGTGACCATTACCCACGGCGATGAGGTCATCTGTGAACCTCGATAGGATACGTCGGAGAAGGATTTTCTACACCTAGGTGCTATGGCACCCATCATTTACATGCGACTCAAATAGTTATAGAAAAAAATTAAAAAAATAGTAACATCATTTGTGATGATACAAGTCTATACACAAACATACAAGACTAAATTTGATTTTCAACTAGAGAAACAAAAATAATAAAATCAGACAGTGAATAGTACCGGCCCGTACAGTACAGATAAAATTTTTTATTTTTATTTCTTCATATATCGATCGAATTTAGACTTGCATATTTGTATAGTGTCTCATATTATCTATCTTATCAAATTTTATGAAATTTTTATATAATCTATTATATTATTAAAGGAATAGAAAAATGAGCCTCCACGTTCGCTCTCATGGCCAAGAAATTCTCACATTAATCGGAGAAAAATAAAAAAGCAGAGTCCATATAGAATATAATTTAGAAATAGCTAAAATTCAGAATTAAAAAATAAGGAATATTAGAAGAGGAGACTAGAGTCCATTTAGAAATACAATTTAGAAATAGTTGAAATTAGGAATTAAAAAAATAAAGAATATTAGAAGAGAAGACTAGAGTCCATATAGAAATACAATTAGAAAATAACTGAAATTCGGAATTAAAAATAAGGAATATTAGAAGTAGAGTATAGAGTCCATATAGAAATACAATTAGGAAATAACTGAAATTTGGAATTAAAAATAAGGAATAGTAGAAGTAGAGTATAGAGTCCATATAGAAATACAATTAAGAAAAAAAAATAGAAATTCGGAATTAAAAATAAGGAATATTAGAAGTAGAGTATAGAGTCCATATAGGAATTTAAAACTAACTAAAATTTGGAATAAACATAATAAAATTAAAAGTAGAGTTTACAGTCCGTATAAAAATACAATTTATAAATAACTACAATTCGAAATTAAGAAAATCATGGTAAGAAGAGTTTAAAGTCAATATAGGAATACAATTTAGAAGTAATTAAAATTCGAAATTAAAAATTAAAGAATATTGAAAGATGAGTTTAGAGTCCACATAGAAATATAATTAGAAATAATAAAAATTCAGAAATAAAAATAAATAATATTGGAAGAAGAGCATAGAGTCTATATAGAAATACAATTTACAAAAAATTCGAAATTAAAAAAAGAAAATATTAAAAGACAAGTCTAGAGTCCAATATAATTTACAAATAACTAAAATTTGATATTAAAAATAATTAATAACTAACACGTATATAAAATACAATATGAATATTACACATTAGTAGTTTTGTAAAGTTATTATAAAATTTAAAATTATGTTGTTATTTTAATATATTTGAATAATATAATGAGAAATCATATATGCTATTATATGAGAGAAAATATAATGATGCTAGCTGCGCAATCTGCACGGGCCACCATGCTAGTTGTTTAAATTACATGCATACAACTAGGTGCCATGACACCTAAGTGTAGAAAATACTTTCCGAGGATACGTCGTAATGAGCATTTACCTACGGATCACCCAACATACGATATAGTCACTATTACGAAAATCGTTTTTTTTTTCAGCGGTTAAAAATCGTTTTTAAGCAGTGTGTGATCTACACTGCCCGTGCATGTCTACGAGACTATAACCATAGTGCAGCTAGGTTCCTTCCCTTGTCTGCCAAAAAGCAATATTTGTATCAATACCTCCCTCGCTCCTCACTCCATACACCTTCTTTCCACCTCTCCACCGTCCTTGACACTCCATGGTAGGCATGTCCATGCTCATGTAGCTACAAAAGCAACGCCAATGACAGCATGCAATCATGCAGCATAGCTCGATCGAACTAGCTATAGCTATAGCTGTATCTCAAAATTAATGGCCTCCGGCGGCGGGAACAAGAGGGCGTGGGTGGCTGACCTGGAGGGGGGCCTCGCCGGCGCCGGCGCGGCGTCGGAGCGCGCGCTGTGGTCGAAGCACTCCGTCCACCGCGTCCCCGCCGCCGTCAAGGACCTCCACCCGCACGCCTACCGCCCTCAGGTGGTGTCGCTGGGCCCCTTCCACCACGGCGACCAGCGGCTGGTGCCCATGGAGCCGCACAAGCTCCGCGTCGTCGCGCGCTTCGTCGGGAGGAGGCGCAGGCCGGTGGCGGAGTTCGTCGCCGCCGTGGAGGCGGCGGCGGCGGAGCTGGAGGAGTCGTACCAGGACCTCGCCGGCGAGTGGCGCGGCGAGAGGTTCCTGCAGGTGATGTTCACCGACGGGTGCTTCCTGCTCGAGATGATGAGGACGGCGAAGGTGATCGGCGGCGGCGGCGGCGGAAAGCACGACGAAGCGAGCGGCGCCGTCGGCGGATACGCGCACAACGACCCGGTGTTCGGCCGCCACGGTGCGGTGTACATGGTGCCGTACGTCCGCCGCGACATGCTCATCGTGGAGAACCAGCTGCCTCTCCTCCTCCTCCAGAAGCTCGTCGCCGTCGAGACCGGCAAAGAATCCCAAGATTTGGTAATGGACACCATTGGTGCTGATCGATCTCTCTTCCACCATTGCTAGCTAACTAGCTAAGCTAACCATTAATGGATTACTTGGAAAAGGGTGACGTCGAGTATGAAGTGAAGAAGATGGTGCTGAGGTTCATCTCGCCGTCGTGCAAGACGCCGCCGGCGAAGGAACACCGGGCACTCCACCCGCTCGACTTGTTCCGCAAGAGCTTGCTCAGCGGCCAGCACCAGAGACCACGCGGCGACAGGGGCAGCGCAGGCGCCGGGAGAGACGACCGCCGCCGCGACGACGACGAGGAGGCCAACGGCGGCATCATCCGGTCGGCGGCGGAGCTCTACGAGGCGGGCATCCGGTTCAGGCGTAGCCCGACGGCGAGCCTCCACGACATCACCTTCCGCCGCGGCGTGCTCGCCCTGCCGTTCGTCGTCGTCGACGACTCCACCGAGTACGCGTTCCTCAACCTCATGGCGTTCGAGCGCCTCCACGCCGGCGCCGGCAACGACGTCACCGCCTACGTCCTCTTCATGGACAGCATCATCGACTCGGCCCGCGACGCGGCGCTGCTCACCGCGAGGGGGGTGATCCAGAACGCCGTCGGTAGCGACAAGGCGGTGGCGAGGCTGTTCAACGGGCTCTCCAAGGACGTCGTCGCGCTGGACGGCGCTGGCGGCGACGGCGAGCTCTACGCCGTGCGGCGCGCGGTGAGCCGCTACTGCCGGAAGCCGTGCCACGTGTGGCGCGCCAACCTGGTGCACACCTACTTCCGGAGCCCCTGGGCGTTCATGTCGCTCGCCGCCGCCGTCTTCCTCCTCGCCATGACGGTGGCGCAGACCGTCTACACCGTCCTGCCCTTCTACCAGCAGGGTGGCAATGGCGGTGAAGCCACGTATGCTGCTCCGGCTCCACGTTGACAATCTCGATCGCTTGATGTCTATATATGTCTTACGTACGCATTGGCCTCTGTTTGGATTGGCTCACTTTCCACTGAGAAGATGTTCTATGTTTTGCTTTCTGTTTGATCGATCGTCGAAATATTCAAATCTTGAGATGACACGTTGTCCTTCCTTTTAGCTTCACATCTTTCCGGTAAAATATTTGGTGACTGTCTATATGTGTTTGACACAAAACCTTCTAACAAATTCGTGTGAATTTTGAACCATCAGATTTTGCTTTAAGATTGATGCACCATCCCTAAGCCTAACCCCACACCACTACCCGGCCTCGCCTCTTCCCCCTCCCCCCTCCTGTCCTCTCATCCTCCTCAAGATGGTGGCAGCGAGGTGCCCTGCACCACCATAGTCTTCGACGGCTCCTTGCCGCAGGATCCGTCACCTCCGGCTGTTGCCTCCTAACCAGAAGCTCGCTTTGCTTGCTCTTGTCGCCAATACCGGCCCACCGTCCTCTTCCACGGCTCTGATGCCACTGCCAACGCCTCGCCGCTCTCTCATGTCCACCACCAGGCCACCGTCTCCACTGAAATCCTTCTAAACCAAAAGATCTTCTAGACCATGGGATCTCCTATCGTTCCTAGGGTTTGCATTTTCGATTTCAACCAAACACTACTAAGAAAAGCATTATCGCAAGCGGCCGAAAAGGGTCTTCGCAGGCGGGGCGGCTATCCGCCTGTAAGCCAACGACTGTGAAGATCTCCGATCTTCACAGGCGGGGCGGCCGTCCGCCTGCGAAGATTATTTTCGCAGGCGGACGTTGGCTAGTCCGGTCCACCTGCGAAAATAGGAATTGTCCGCTTGCAAAAAAAAACTTCCGTCTGTGAAGATAGATAGAAAATATTGAAATTTAATTACAATTTGGCCGTAAATTACTTTTAAATTATTTAATAGAAATTCTTGCAGGTAGATTTTTATGTACATATATTGGAAGATTACCAAGCATTTGGTACTGAGAAATCTACATATATTGCATAACTCAAAAGTATTGCCAAAATATATATATTACAATATTTTTTTACATTGTCACTTCAAATAACGTCATCTAGTTACATTATGGCATAGCAGTGTTCCACTCCCGAAGATCCTTGAATTCGTCACTTGCCACTACGGCACCCTCTGGGTCAAAGAAATCTCCTTTGACATGACAGCACTCATGGTGGATGAAGTGGCACAGATCACGCTGGACATTTGTGATACCTGTATCGTCGAAGCTTGTTCGACATTCTAATCTTGGCAACTGCATGCATTGAAATTAATCAATATATTAGTACCATAAATATCAAGAGCTGTCTAGTACATAGTATAGAGACTTACATCCTCCGCGTTAGCCCTGTACCGTCCATTAACCCCAAGGAATTCGCACGCATAATACCCGCAAAGGACCGTTCCTCGCGGTTGCTTGTGACACTTCAGGACATATCATAGAAAAAAGTAGTTAAAATTTGCAATTAGTGAAACAATTGGAATACATAAAGTGAGTAGAGTATTACCGGCCAATAGGTACGTACTAGCAGCTTCTCCCGTGTTCGGGTCTGTTCTCCACCCTTGAACTTGTAGTATTGGTATGCACTGTATGGATGTCGTACCGTTTCAGAGTAAGGAGGATATTTATTTGTAATACATTCATATACAAATGCAAGAGTCATAATAACTTACTACTGTAAGATTGTTAGAAATTCTTTGTATTGCTTGTGATTGTAATCGAGAGGATCCAAGACTACCACGGTTCCGTCTTTAGGGTGGATGAGTAAACAGATATAATGATCGCTACATATTAACAACATTATAGTTAGTTAGTACCAGCTAAAATAAGACATATGTGTACAAGATAAATGTACCGGACTTACTTAAAATTATAAGCGGCCATGACGACTCTCTTATTTTGAAAGTGCAAGAAGGCTCGTCCAATGTACTGTGCGACAGTAATCAATTTCTCCTTGTGCAAGCCCTTCTTGTATTCTGCTATCTCTTTTGGATTCTTGCCCTTCAGCTGGTCTGATCCTGGTGCTAGCGTCACGGTATGCTGTGTTTGGCAGATCTGAGTTGGATCCAAGAAGCCGATGGGTTCTTTTTTCTTCTTAGCATCCATGTATTGCATCCTACAGAAGAAGTTTGTTAGTAACAATCACATGGATTTGTATTGTACATATTTTTCATCTAATTAATTAAAACTCATACTCACATGCACCAAACACCGACATAGTTGACGTCCATCTTATCCCGACGATATATGGCGTGGAGATCTAAGAAATCTAGCCATACGTAACCTTCTTCGCCGAAACAATCTGCCGGTGATCGAGCTGTTATATTGCCCAAGCCTTTCTTGCTGGCCTCCATGTAGAAGTTATACAACCTTCTCATCTCCCATGGTGCTTCTTCCAGTGCCCATTCCGGCAACAGTGCTTTCCCATGTTCGTACTTTTTCGGGCAATCATCGGTTGCGAAGTATGTTGGCCCGGCTAGTTCAGCAGTCTTCTGGGGGTCGTCATCTCTGAGCTTGGCACGTTCCTTACCCCCTCTGAAGACGGTTACCATGAACTTTTCCTTGTTCTCATCTTTGGACTTGGAGTCGTGGCTCCTAAGCACTCGTGGCACCTCGGGGTCTTTTGCAGGAGAAGGGTCTTCAAATATTTCTGGCTCTGTACCGTCCCATTCCAATCCTGGTACTTCTTCTTTGTCTGACCCGACTGATGCCACAAATTGCACCTCTGGTTCTGCCACTGTAATCTCCATGGGCACATCCGGCACTGGAATCTCCATGGCTGTCTCTGGCGGTGCAATCTCCATGGCTGCCTCCGGCAATGCAATCTCCGGTGGCACTTCCGGCACTGGATTTTCCTTTTGCATCTCTGGATCATCCGCCTTATCAGTCACTTTCCTCTTAGGAGGCCTCGGAGGTTTTCCCAACCCCGGTTTAGGCATGGCGTCGGTGCCCAATCCAAAGGATATGTCATTCTTGTGCCAGAGAATTACAAGATCGACTGCATCCCCAAGTACGGATACACCATCTGCAGTCGGGTAGTCAATATCGTAGGACTCAAACCCTTTGTGGACCACTTGTGGCTGCACCTTGGCATATGCATCGGGTATGAACTGTTCATTGTATGTTCTCCCAGGGATAACAATGGCTGTTGCGGCCTTAAGAGTTTTACCGGAGCGTCCAATGGGAACGTGCAATCTGCAGGGTGTATTCTCCTTGAGGTCATCGAAGGGGTAATCTGGCTCAGTTTCTTTGGTTTTGGGGCGAGGCAAAATCATGTGCTTGACGCAGAAATCCATCATTTGCCTTTCAAACTCCGCAGCCCCTTCGTCTCTAAGTTTATCCTTGTACGCTTCACGCTTCTTGTGGGGGTCATTTTTGAACCCTTCCTTCCAACTCATCTTGCTCGACACACCTCTAACCCTTCCCCCATGCTCAGGAGTACCCAACGCCGTACTTAGCACATCTTTCTCCCTTTTAGGCTTGAAATATCCTTTCTTTTGTGAACTGAATAAATTTTCTATTTTATCGGCAACGCTCTACAGCTCCGGATTTTCAAACGATACTTTTCCTTCATCCGTGATCTTCGGAGTTCTAGCTCTTACCTAGTTCCTTGATCTCTGTGTCCACTCCTCCATTGGTACCGGTTGCCCCTTCTTCCTCATTTCCTCCTCCTCTTTTGTCCACTGCTCCACCTTTGGTGCGTATCCCGCGGAGCCTAAGCGATGAGGAAATTTGTTCTTCTTGGCCAACTCTGCATACTTTTGGCTCCTTTTAATTTCTTCCGGGGAGTTCTTCAAGGTCAAAAAGTCGTCCCACTGATTGGGGGTTATGTTGGCATACGTCGAAAATGGTGTGCGTCCCGTCTTCACAAATTTCTTGTTCAAGGTGGTTTTCCAACCACCCCAAGACTTGGCCATTGTTTGCAGTGCACAATTTCTCACTTCTGCCTCTGATCCATCCGGGAACTGGAAGATTTTCTTCAACTCTTTCCATAGGACTTCCTTATCCCCATCCGATACATGATCCCAGTCCTTGACCGTGATGGAGATCTTTTCCCTTACTATTATGCCACACTGTGAACTGAATTTCGTACGTGCCGTCTTAGGGGTGAGCAGCTCTCCTTTAGGCGAAACATGGGTAACAACATGGAACCCTTCATCCTTTCTATTCACGCTTCTCTCGCCCTTCCTTTTCTTCGCCTTTGCTGACCGTTCGCTTTTCTTTGTGCCGGTTGTGTTAGCTGGTACGTCGTCGTCTTTCGACGGAACTTTTTTCTTCGGCTGCTGTTTTGATCGCCGTGGCGCCGTTTCCTACGAGAAGGTATGCATGGAAGTTTCGAATTAGCTCGGGCTAATAGTTATCACGGTGAACATTTTACATATTAAGTTTACTTACCCCTTCTTTAGGGGGAATGTAGTCCTTGTCGCCTTCTTCACCGTCACCCTTTTTCCTTCTCTTCGGGCTTGGGCTTGGACAAGGATCGCTTGGCGACAAGTACTCCTCGTCTTCGTCACCTACGTCGCTGTTGGAACTACCTTCCGGTGGGACCGTTGGTTCTGGAGCAACCACAACAGCAAGGGACTGCTCCTGCTCCCCTAAACCCTTCTCTTCAGTCCCTTTAGTACTATCGGCCATCGTTTCAAACCTCTAATATAAAAAAAAGAGTTATCGTCCACATTTTAAATTACTCAAATTAGTACAAACTAATTAGTACAAAAATAAATTGTATATTAACAATATGTCGTATGAACAAATTTAAATTCTCTGAGATTTCCAAATTTAACTAGTACTTACTATTATGCTAAATTAATTAGTACAAACAAATTTAAATAGCGAAACTAATGACTACTTACTATTATGCTAAATTAATTACTACAAACAAATTTGTACAAAATTTTATATGTTATTATCAAGTAGTGCACTAATTGACTTCCTTATTTCATCGACATGTTGACTAAAAAAATGGAAAAGGCAAACATATCCTCCACATTTTTTTTAAAAAAAAATGTTAACATACCCTCCAACATGTTATTTAAAAAATTTGACAAATTCACATCTCCTGCAAAATTGAACATAACCTCCCAATTTCATTCACATATCACACACATTCCCAAATTCACATTCACAATCAACATAT